TAATGAATCACCCCTCAAAGCGGTCCTTTTCCGATATACCATCGGTATAAATTTTGCTCATTGCGGCGCTCAGTCACACGTTGACCTGCGATTGCGCATGCTCTTCGCTGACTCCGCCCCTGCGCTCAGACGCGTTTTTATGGCGAAGTGCGACGACGCCGTTCCCTGCTTATCTCTCCTCGCGCGTGACTCCGCCCTCCTTCCGCCGACACGCGCATATGGCGAAGTGCGTACGCACCTATACAAATAGTCGAGAAGATGCGGTTGGGTTGCTGTTAGAATCGCTAAGCAATATCATCGATTAGTTGTTCAGTTCCCGAGTATTAGTCAAAGCAGTCTGATTTATTGCATGGTTCACCTTTTCAGCTATGCTTTCCCATCTTGTACCCACACAGATTTGCTCTACTCAAAACTTCTTACTCAAGACCTCCGTCCGTTTGGTTTCCCGAAAATATATTCGACCCCATCCTCGACCCTACAAACGACGTTGGTTCGAAGCAGCCGTAGCGCCAGTAATGCCCGCAAGCAGGCGACTTTGTCCGTCTGTGGTTGAAATGAAGCAACAATTTGAACGAGAAAGAAATGAGGTGATATTCATTTCATATTTGTATTTCGTCATCATGATATCGATTCATCAATTGTCTTTATTATTATCATTGCCACTTAGTGTTTCAGTACTCTGACATCGAACTAGCGTTATCGAATTTGGTGCGCTCCTGGATGAAACGTGAACAATTCCGGGCATTAGCAGTCTGTCAGTTCCTTCCTGTGAATGGTCGAACGCTTTGGCTGACCAGAAATCAGTATCGTTCTTGTCTCTCTGTACTTTACGAAACTCATCCTTTTTCTTTTTGTTTATCAATAATGCTTTCATTGACGAAGCATCCTGTTATCAATTTCAGACTACGTTTGAAGGGTCTCGAGTTTCGTAATTACGGTAATCGTATCATGCAAAAAGCGTTCGAAGCAACTCCATTGGAAACGTTGAATGTTCTGTTGATTGGTTCAAACTGTATGTTATTTGGTAAGAACATGCAGTCGTTGAGGACCATCGTTCAAGAATGCGATAAATTGGCGTGGATTGAACCACTGGGTTAGGCTTCAGTTTGCATATTGTTACTCTAAAAATGTGTTGAATAGTGATAGAAATGAAGGTATACATACGCTTTAAATTTCAGCAGTTGTTTACGATTCGAAAATTTTATCCATGCAAGAAGTTCGTGAATTGTGTATGAAGAAAACATTCGAAGAAAATCGTTCCGAAGCAGTGAACACTTTTGATGGAATTTTAATGGAAACGTCACAGTTACTTGATTTACCTAAAACACTCACTCAACAAACTTTGGCGACTTTAGATGGGCAATTTGGTGAGTTAACTGGTATTTTGGAAAAAATTTATTCTTCTGAACATACCAGTACCAAGAAATAGTTATATCCGCTATTTGCAGTAGTAGTATTAGTACCAGTACTATTACTACAACTGCTGATATGAGTGTAGATTGTTGAAGGAAGAAAATTTCACATTTTGCTGTTATTATGTGTTTAATAAATTCAAAAATGAATTCGATATTGTAATTAATCGTATTGTTGTTGTACATACAGGTGATAAAAAAGATTGTTATCATAAGTATTACATAAATGAATCACAGAAATGCGCATAATCTCTCATAATCGAACGGATTGAATGCACTCAAATACATCAACTGCTTACGACCCACTTCGCTACGTCCTGCAATACTGGTGAATGAGCATTAGTAAATATGATAATTGAACAAGTGAATACCATTCTGAGTGGCAATCCAGTGCTTTTGCTTGTAATAATCATACAATGCGTTCGTTTCTTGCTCTGTATAGAGTTCCGTCTCAATCGGTATGAACGGCTCAATCGCGTCGAAGCCCTACGAATAAACATTTTGATGAGACACATAATTCTAACGTCATAACGATTCTCGGTATTTTTACCTCTTCACCAAAAAGTTCCAAAGGCGTATTCAGCGGTATTGTTACAGCATCTCGAGCATCACTCAATTCTTTTTTATCGGCCACCATCACACACGCTCCATTTGTCTTCAAGTGAAAATCTTTTACAAATTTCACCCGCATGGATAACAGACATTTAGCTCCTCACCAAGCAGTCCCCTTAAATAACCGAATACGGGACTCCTCGGTAGGGAATCAATCCTCTGAGACTCGGTTCGCATAAACAATAAATCAACAAGTGAAGAACAAATAACTCGTCACCCATGAATTGCTAAAAACTTTGCGGATATGATGAACAAGTGTGAGATCATTAGCGGCCGCGTAGCTTCGATCAGCCCGTTTCACAGTGGTTTTGCCGAACAGCGAATTGGCGTCATCAATAACGAATAATAAACGAAAATGATTCTCAGTTGCGTGCCATTTCAACTCTCGTAACAGAGCACCAACACAATCCGAAGCGATAAACGGTGCGGAAAGACCCTTTAAAAAATTTTTTCAAATCTCTAATTTTTTAATTTCAATTCATAAATTCTGATTCTGAAACGTCATCGAAATATCATCCATTTCACTTGGAATATTCGTTCCCTTTCAGTTCATTGCTATCAAAATACTCAAAAACGTTCCGTTGAAACAAACCATTTCAACAATATCTGTTATCGGACGACCCATTGACGTCTTCTCAACTTTTGTCCACTCATAATTTTTGCCAGTTTTTAACTCCTGAAACATGAACCAACTGGACAATGAGATAGTGTTCGTCGACGGACACCTTATTGGCTGGGAGGCACATCCTCTCGACTTATGACTGGGAGTCATCGAGGAATAACTCCTCATCAGGATTGCCGTTCCTCGGTAAACTATTATTAATAAACTCATAATAGTATTTTTTTAAAGTCTAACGAATAAGCCCAACGGATTATTATTACCGAAAGTTTACTCCAATAAGGCGCATTATTCTGCTTGAAAAGTTGCAGCATTTCAATCGCCTGTAGAGGTACGTCTATTCGTCCAGGATGATAGGTGGACATTTGAATTTCTTTTGCAGATCGTGTCAAATAGATTCCTTCAATTTCAAATACTCAGCAGATGAGTGAAAACGGAGTGTTCGACGAACACATCGAAAAAATCATACAACAAATAAATAATTTACCACTTCGAACTGTAAAAACTATCCACTGATGTAAATGAGCATAATGTAATGTTTGATATAACGTCGTCGATTTGCCAGTTCCAAATTTTCCCCACAAAACAATTCGTAGGTTTGGCGCAGTCGTTCTAACAGCCTTAAGAAAACTTTGGCCACAATAATGTTTATCATATAACAGGAACAATAAATTTGAGTATAATCATTATAAAATGAAAACAAATGTCCATGGAAATTACCTTCAAACAATTGATCACTTCAAGGAAAGGCCTTCTACAAAGCCAAACACATTCATTAAGCGTTTCAATCTGTTTCGCGAATCGGATTGGCAAAATTTTGTCGAATGACAGCCTTTTAACAACATCATCAGATACCTTGTATAAACGGCCAACATCGTTTAGGCTCAAACAACTCTGAAATTTGAATAACAATAACAGCAATTAGCAATAACAACAAAGATGTAAAAGTATAATCAACCAACAGGATCTGCAGAAGACGTTGTACGATTCTGTAAGCTAATCACTCGCCGCAGATTACCTGAACAATATTTCCAAAACTAAATACCTTGATAACCATCTAATATTAAAGAATAGTGATAAAATTGGGTTGAGGAATAAGTCATTGCAGTTTTATTAAAATTATTCATTACGTAAAAAAAGACACAGGGGTCTACGCTAAGCGTTCTGTTACCCGCAAAAAGCTCGTGGTCCTACTATACAAATCCTACTATACAAATTATGAATCGCAATGACTTATTCAGTAATATGATTTTGGTGGTAATGAAGATTAGAAAATAAATTACCTATCTCAGAAGAACGTAGAGGTAGACCCATGTTGAATAATTTATTCATTTTGTATAATTTATTACAGTAATTATTATCAATGTATCTATGAGATCTGCAAATGAATTACGCAAAACCCAATACACGCCATGATCCAAGCATAATAAACACTCGATTCGTCACAAAAACAATGATAAACAACAAATAGCAAGTCGGATGAACGGATTTTGCCGAGTTAAAAGTGCTTTACATGGAAACAAATCATTTGTGAGAGAATCGTCAACTGAAATTCTTTATTTCTGAGCGAACAACCAACATAAGTATGAATGGAAATTACGAAAAACATTGAACAGGTAACAATAAAAATCCACATTAATGACGATATTAAAAAAGAATAATCATGCCACAGGAGCATATTGAAATTCATCACTATTTTCATATTTAGCCATATCCAATGCTACAATACAACTCTCTTTAACGACTTGCTGAAAATGAGTAGAATTAAGTGATTAATTAATAAATGAATTAATAAAACAATAACCTCACCTCATTGTCATGCAAATATTTCTTCAATAATTCTTCACATTGTTCGGTAGCAATCGCACCCAACGCTTCAGCACATTCATGTCTAACCATATGGTTTTCATTCAAACATTCTAAATGACTTCTTAAACTCTTGACAGCTATCGGAGACTGTGTTTGACCTAGCACATAAGCAACCTCATGACGGAATAACGCACTCTCTGGGCACTCCAAACCTGCATTTTAAATTTCATTCATGAAAATAATAATGAAAATATTAATAACAGTGAGCGAACGGAAAACATGGAAATTCGAGCACAACTAGAAAGAGCTTTATTAATACCTTTCGAAAGTGCTTCAATCGCTTTATCTGTGTTCAGATTCCTTAAGGCGAACATTGCTTCATATCGTTGCCAAAGTGATTTAGACGCATCCACTAATATTTCACCTAATTTTTTAACATCTCTTTCTGAGCTTGCTGGTGATGGATCTAAATTTTTACTCAGCGTATTCATCAGTACTACTATTATTCACACCGTTTAAAATTTTATTAAGAGTAGAATAATTACTATTAGCACTTACCAACAGAATTATATGGACTTCTATTGTCAACGAATTCACTGTCATTGCGTCGTTTATTTAAGAGCCACTCAATTCGCTGTATCGCCAACTCACAAGTTTCTACTAATGCTGGTTCAGAGTGAGTTAAATATTTCCTCAGAGTTGGTAAAGCTAACGGATCACCAATTGCGCCTAGTGCCTCGCCAGCTTCGTGTCGCACAATTGTCTCTGCAAAACGTGAACTGTGCACAATTTATCTGAACATGCAAGGCGTCATTTACAATACATCCATAAAAATCAACAAACCTTGTTCCTCATCTTCTAACACATCGATAAGTATCGGTACAGCACTTGCATTCTGTGTCTGACCCAGGCAATAGGCTAATTCATGCTTTAACAATGCTGACTTATCGCTGAAGCATTTACCAATCCATTTCACACTTTCATTACATCCCAAATTACGCAGCACAAACAATGCACGAAAGCGTGTTGCCAATGGTTGTCTTCAACAGTATCATAAGTTCAACTAGTGATGAATATGAAGCAGTATCCAACAGCGATAATGTCAGTGAAATATGGCGATGATCATAGGCCTAGGCTGACGCTATCAGGTACCTATTAAAGATGCCGTCAGTTTTCTGGTATGAGCTTCAGCCTAAGCCTAAGCTTAAACACAATCCACTGCCAAATTTCACGTTGACTATCGTCATTTTAAAGTGAGAACTTCGAAATCATTCATCTTTGATATTAGCGCTTACTTTGCATCATTAAGAATACTACCAGTCGTATTGATATGCTCCAAGCTGAACGTCGTCGTTGTCGTTGTGCTAACTTCACCCGTCATTTCGGTTGCTTCTCGCTGAAGTTTTGACTAATATAATTGAGGCGGTTATTATGTCGTTCAGGTCAAGGAGGAAGGGATGTGAGCTTTCGAATCTACGACAATTTGCTCCCACCCTGACATTTAGCACCGCTTAAATTTATGATAACGCGTGAACCTCATAATTGAGTAGCTGGATGTTATTTGTCCGAGTAAGACTTGTCGCGGAGCATATATTATGTACTCTGAAGACACATTGCCATTGCATGCATGAACACATTGTGCCACAGTTCTCTCGCACATCAACAACCGATTTTTCGAAGAAGATGTTTTTGAACTGAAATTAATTCAATTTGAGTGAACGACCATTGCTCGCATCTAATTGTGACCCATGCAACAAGAAATAAACCAATCATAAAAGCAAGACTTTCATGGGTGCACACAATTCATGGCAGATAACTGTGACTTAGGCGGTCACACATGAAAGTGTAGGCAAATAATACTGTAATTGTGGACGAATTGCGTCGCGGATGCACAGATTTTGCTTTCATTATGCATATACGTTGATATTTATCTCATCCTGAGACGTGGGAGTAAGTTCTTGACCTTTCCTTGTCAGTAGAGCAAATGTTACACTTGAACGACATTACAAGATTTATTTATCCAGAGATGAAAACAAAAATTGTGAAAGCAATGAAACAAAATTATCACATATATTCATATATACATATCATAGGCATTCATTATTCCTAAACATTTACAATATAATTTTTTAATTCATTATAAATTACTAACATTGAAGTTGTTCATTCACATTTTCACATATTTGCTGAAGTGAAGAAGAGAGGATGCACGTAATTTGAAGGATTACTGAAGGAAATGAGTCAAGAAAGAGGGAAACATAAGCACAAAATGGGATTCGAGCTGGGATGTAATAGACATTTGGTTTCGCGTAATGCTTGTGATGGTAACTGATCGAGTTTGGTACACGACTGACACATCAACACTCGTAATTTCATTCCATCTTGCGATAAACGGCAACGTGATGAACACGAGAATGATGATACTAATGATGATGATCTGAATTCACATTCAGTTCAAGCCTTTCTCAGCTGATCTCTTGCAGTCATACGATGATAATATTGAAATGTAATAATCAGAATATTACTATGGTATAGCAACAATAATACTCACTTATTAGATGCACAACAAACAGAAAGCTTCCGTTCACCAATTGAAAGCACATGATGAAGGCACTTAAATTTATTCGTGGCTCTTTTAAGTGCTTCTAATGACTGTGTACTATTTGATTCCATTCTTTTTACCAAACACAATACCTGAAGGTTGATAATTCATTCAAGTTTTAATTGATGTACCGTGAATTAGTCATTGGCGTAATAATATAAATGAAAGCAGTGAATATGAGCGATAAAATAAACGAACCCGACTCCTTTGAATTTTATCTTTCCACGTCAAAACACCGAGTGTCATCATCGCGAGATCATCATACGGTAATGTATTTTGCATCATGATTTCATTCGAAACCTCCGTTGTTTCGAACCATTCCACATTGGTTTTTGCATCGAATTTGATTAAGAACAACTGATAACCACCATGAGCACTACCAGACGCAGCGTTGATTGGTGCTGTTGTTGGATAAATGCTGTTTGTATGTGGAGTTATGAGTGGAGTTAGTGATGTAGATGGAGATGGCTGACTGCTTGATGAGGTGGGTGCAGCTGATAAAACAAAGTCGTAATATGCTATACCAGACTGCGATGTTTCGAAGACCAGATCCGATGGATTCAACAGCAATAAACCAGAGTCTTCAGCCAGATCAACTATTGACAACGATTCATTCTGAAGATTACTCACTGAAGCGTTGGTACAAGCAGATGATCGTCGTGATTTTGACTGTGGGCGTTCATTGGAGATGATTGAGAGTTGTGCGACGGCTGCTGGTGCACAGAAGACTGAATAGGTTTCTTGAAAGAATGATCGAATCGTTGGCGTTGGATTACTGTTTTGAGTTGCGTTTGGCTTGGATGTTGGATGTTGTGATGAAAAGTTGATACCACACGAACGTGCTCGTCGAGTTAGACATTGGTTGGTGATTTGTGTTGGGTTTGGGACTGAGGATCGAGCTAGGACTGGCGTTCTTATAGGATTGGAAGAGCAAGAAGTAATCGCTGATGATGACGAGGCAAAATTATGAATTGGTGGTGACGATGATAAGTGACACGACATGATGACGATGAACTGCAATGAAGAATGTTTCGAATTTACAATAAAAATTGCATGATGTGCAATTTTTAGCGTCCCAACTTCTAGATCATGATTAATGCAATCACCTTGCACTTTAACTCTTCTGCACAACACCAACTTCCTTTCAGAACATTTTTTTTTTCGAAACAACAATACTTCATTTTTCAAGGAATATTCATCAACACAAGTTTGCTTCAATATACTCTCCGTTCAATAATTTTGTATCAAGTGAGCAGTCAGCCTTAACAGCGATAGTTATACGAAGCTGACGTGAATAAAGGGGTGGATAGCTAGTTGGATGGATGATAGATTAAATGAATTACGACATAGAGATGCGATAAGATGTGACGATGAAGTGGAATGATTCGAGTTTTCAATAACAATTTTCGAAAATTCATCTATAAAATTTCAGAGCACCATTGAATGTAATTCCACATCTCTGGTCAATTAATAGCATTTATCTAATAAGAAACCATTCATAAACTGCATTGCCCAATAAACATGTTTTAGCGATTTTAGTTCTACAAATGAACTTAACATAGCAAATGGATTATTTGTAATCATCAGATTACCGTGAAGGCTGCATACCTACCTACATATCTGTATTTTACTACTTGTACTCATATAGGGACAATTGCCATTATTGAGTTAATTTGATACATAATTTAATAATACAATACGTTTAGGGCATGAGAAAAGGTCTCGCATGAATATGAGCTGATCATTTGGAAGACTTATTATAATCAAGAGATGATTATTTAACGCATAAATTGCGGTTATTCACAAGAATGTCAATGCAGGGACTAAGCATCATCACATCAGACTGATGATGAAATAAATATTTCATAGGCTCTTTGATGGTCTGCTGTTGTTTGCCTATTTCCGACTAGTTATTCACTTGCTGACTGATATCAACGCAAAGCAAAAGATGCCTAAGTGAACCTTTCAATCAGCGTGAAACATTCAATGACGATTATTACTTTCAGTTTATTGCTTGTTTTCCGACTGATTAAAACAATGAAACTAGAATGGATTCAACTTATTTCTTCGTCGTATTCTTGCCATATTCATTGAGTCTGATAGAATGATGAGATGTGATAATAAAATAACTAGAACAACAACAGTGTTAATGATAATCATAATGACTAACAGCTGATGAGCATGGAGATTGCGAAAATAATGAAACAAAATTGATATAATATCGTCTCATGGTTAACTTCATTATCCCACACATATATGAGCATGATGCTATCGACCGTCATCGAATAACGATGACGTTATTTTGCATCATCATTCAAACTTTGTACACACATTTATTGCTGTCGTTTAGTTCTATTAACACACACACGTTATCATTCTATTGCATGTCTCATCCCAATTATTTAACCTTAATATTATTACTAATAGCAGATATTAATTACATTCACAGAGTACATCATCTCATTAACAGTAGAGCAGCAATACTAAAATCGATAATAATTAAGCAAGTTTTGACGCGTATCTCATTGCAACCTCATCGAAAACACCATGCGTGCTAATGGGCTATCGAGCGAAGTAAGTATGAATATAAAATAAATGGTAATAAAATGAACATTTTCATTTATTGCAACGAGTTTCGCATGTTTCAATTATATGACAGAATTTTTGAATGAAACAAAATTAAATGAGATATATAGTGACGTATCACTCTTACAAGATATTCGTCATTGCGTGTGCATAAAATTTTAGAAAGAGTATCCTTCAATTGACGTCATCATTGTCATTACCAGCATTAATCATTCATTGCTGATGCATAATTGATAAGACAGCAGCATAAAACGAATGCAGCGCAAAAAAGCATTTGACATGAACGACCAACGTTTAGGACGACGAACGACGGATTTGCGTCAGATTTTTTTATTGAAGTGATTTGAACTTGGTGCAAAAATTGAATCGTTTTATTTTGTTTGGTGAATAGATGAAAAGAATAAATGGACTGCGCAACTGACATGGATAGTAATAGTAGTAGTAATACGAATGGATAATAAGGAATGTACATAAGGGAGGGATAATAGGAGTCGATCGGTTGCATCTGTTCAGATGAAATCACTCATCAAGATGTTGCTGAAACTGATTCTATTGGCATCATCGACAGATTTTCTAAACTCAGATTAAGAGGAGGAGGAAGAATGCTGATCCGTGATATAACCAAAGGATGGGAATGAAATGTAAGAACGTGAGAACAGGCGTACTATAATACTGCATTTAATGCATGTCTCCGATTCATGTTAGCATTTTTGTGATATCACTTATCATGTTATTTATGTTTATATTTTGTTTCAGATTTGTTGAAGCACTTGTTTGTGAACGGAAACAACTATCACTTACTTTAGCATTACTTTAGTTGATATGAACCTTCCTACTCATTGCAAATATAACATTATCTATAGTGGTATTGATACACAAATATAGATTCACTTACGACATAAATAAATGAACTCTTACATAGTATGCAAAGAAAAAAACGCTATTGATTCATTACTGATAAACGGCAATAAGGCAAACTAGCGAGTTGACAACAAAACAGATTCATATAACATGATCACTGCACAGATACATAACCAACAGAGTCTAGTCCTTAGAAAATGACTTTGGTTTTTTTCTTGTTCACATTATGAGGTAAATAGGCTACGGCTATTGAACTTCAGGCGGGGAGGAGATGTGCAAGGATACGCCCATAACACAGTTTCACAATTGACTATATAATAAAATAGCAATAGTGCACCCATCACCACGTTATTCTAGCATGTTAATATATTGTACAACCCTGCTATTGTACAGCCAAACTCATTCCCTACCTGCCATCCGATCTTCTCGAAATGAAATTCCAAAACGCCTAATTAATTAACATGCTCAAAATCAAGAAAAAAAAGAACGACTAAAACACGCTAATTTTGTCGCACTTTAAATAATATGCTCCAATAACCAGATAATACTTCTATTCGATAATTTTTATTTCGAAAGAAGAAATACTAACGAACATAATACAAAGTTTGATAGGTAAATAAGCTACGACTATTGCTGAAAGAATTTTACTCAGAACTGTTAAGGCTTATCAAGGAAATGCTAACGTAAACTCACAACATTATTTCAAGCAAAAAATTACAGCACAAAAAACATTATCATCTCTTTATCAATAGAACATTTAATGAACAATGAAAAAACGAATTAAAAATTTCATAATAATAATACTAATAACAATAATAATAGCTAAAATTAAGGGTTATTCAGTAAGTCTTGTTTTAACTGACGTCTTAACTGTCGTTTTCTGTTGGATCTCTCCTCCTTCAAACGTTCTAACCTCTTCAACTGTTCTTCATAACAATTTTCGCCATTCAAATATCGATCCACAGCGTATTTCAGTCTTGAATTAAAATTAAAATTTGATTAAATGAATTGAAAGTAACAAATACGTTTGTTTTACCCGATGATTTATGCTACCAGCGATTTACAAACTCTTTCACGCAATTTCCTTTCGTACATTTAATAAACACCATGACTCATTCAATACGAAACTGAAAAGAGTAGCAATTACCAACCTGTCATAAGCAATGTCGATGTTTTTTGGGAGTAATCTCGATTGATGCACCTTAACGACCACACCGGTTGGCTTGTGTCGTAACTGCACTGCATTCTGTGCCGTATTCACCTTCTGTCCACCTGGACCCCAACCAGATATGAATTGCTGCATTATGACTTAATTAATTATCCCTTTTGAGCATTACCATCGATAACCGCACACATCCGTTCATATCGTGATCGCGTTACATACCAACTGAGCGATTCACCATACTCGCACTCGGTTGGTGTGTACTCTGCTACGCACCACAATTACGGATAAATGAATAAAGGTATGAATAAGGAAGGGCTTTACCTGTTCACAGTCGTCACGTCTTATTTCTGGGAAAGAGTAATGCTTCAGTTTCTGTTTTGAACTGATACAACGTAATGTGCGATTGAGCAAAGGAAATGTGCACGTTGGCACACGAAGCGGTAACATCAATTAATTATTAACAATACCCATCCAATAAGATCTGAATTTTGTTGCACATAATCACTCTTTTTAAAACAGTTTATGAATTCAAATAGAAACAACACACAAAACATCCATTTTCACCAACAACAACAATTTTCGTTCCAAACGAGTTGCAATGAAAACTGCTATTACTGAAAATTACTTCAGCAAGTATACTTCTTTTATTAAAACAATATCGTTGAATAATAAATTTGAGAACGATATAATAATGAGATAGTACTGATAATGTAATAATCAGAACCGTCTCAAATTGGAAGTCAAAGTCAAAATATCAAAAGAGAACAGATAGCACTCGTGAATATATGTAAAACAATATCATAAATGTTTTGTCTTGCAAGACTGTAAGCTGTAAAAGTGAATATTTAATGCAAAACAATGGAAACAAATGAATCGGTGAGATGAATAACAACCTTCACACTATTCAAATAATAAATAAAATTATCGCATTGAGATCACACAAACGAACAATGGATCAGTAAGAAAACTAACCAGCTTGAAACATATAAAATGCGCTCAATATTACTGAAACAACCAATTAACTCATTTAGTGATCACTATCAAAATCAAACACATCCCTCATCAAAACGCAAGCTGCAACTGCCACATACACACCACTACGATGATCCCCATTATTTTCACCAACATAGTTAACCAAACAAATATAAAAATGAATATACACAAATATAAAAATTAATTACTCACTAAATTAATTTACAACAATCAAAAACCTCGGATTCGAACAAATTGATAATCACGAAAGCATATTTGGCTTTTGTTATATTATACTGTCATGTATATGCTCATTCCGCAGAAGGATTAATTAAACGAACAACTCCACTAGTAACAACAGTAGCAATAATAATAACAACAACAATAATAATAGTAATGAGAATGGAATAAGGACACAGGAATCAAACACGTAACAAATACATTCAACACTCAGCAACTAATCAATAAAGTTCGATGAGTACCCAGTAAAAATGAAAAGTGGTACCACACAAACAAAATTTTACAAATAAAATCCATACTCATACATTTAAACAATTGCTAAAATGCACTTCAACACAACGATAATCATATGAATCTATTTGGACAAAAGTCTCGTCTTTTCAATACAAATCATAATAACTATTCTAAGACTGAATCGTCGCTTATATCATATGAACGGAAGATTGAATGATAAAAAGTTATTAATTTATGCAGTAACATCAAATGAATGAAATATGACGAGGTATATGACCACATACAATAACAACACTTTCCTTATCATAAACCTTGCAAGTATACTCTTCCTATCAGACGATTAATCCTTTCAGTCATCATGAATTCTCAACTATTTCACTGCCAATAATAATTCCTCTAAAAGAATACCGACCAAATGGCCATCGACCACTACTTCTTGAATTGACTGAAATTACTACTATTATTTCAAATCAGACCGATTAACATGAAAATTCAGAAAACAAACTAACCCCAACTATTTCACTGCCAATAATAATTCAACCTACAATATTAATTGTAAGCAATAATATTTTTTTAAACTGGAATTAATAAATTAACCTTAACGGATAACTGTACCATTAGCAGTTGCCGTACTAGATTTGATATTTTTCGTGCTTGCATTATCACCAGCTGCGCTATTATTTCCGAATACGTTTCGCTTTTTCCGCTTCATTTGTTTAACGAGATCAATTTCGGCACGTTCTCTTATTTCATCAAGTGTATAATCAACCAACAACCGACCATTTTCAAATACTGTCACCATCATATCCTACAATTTTCTTTTCATTTCATTTTTTAATTGGAAGCAATAATATTAATGTTTATAATTTATCTTCTTACATACCTTAGATTCATCGCCAAGGCCTTCTTGAATCGTCACAATTGAACCATCATCTCGTCTTTGCAATGTTAAACGACCTTTTTTCGACTTTTTTCCAGTATCCGTTGTCGGATTTTTCCAAACATCAACCTGAATAAAAGATCGTAATAAAAGTAGAAATCACCAAACGACAATTATACAAACTTACGCCTTCACCATCAACAATCACATGCGAACATTTAAATGCACACTTCTGCGTATCTCGATCCAATCTCTGCAATAACGCACCACCTGTGCCGAATGCAATATTCTCTGCACTCCACCCATCAACTTTCATTGCTTCAAGAATCTGAAAATTGAAATGAATATCTTGTATTAGCAATATCAACAATGACTGTAAAACAAACCTTTCCAATAGTTTCATAGCTCACTCCATCACCTTGCATAATCCTTAAATACGATGGTAATACTCGATATCCTTTCGAGTTTGTTGACGTCGGAAACTTTTCGGCCAATAAATTCAGAACCTACAATATGATTCAATGAACAATATTAATTGCAAAAATAATAATAGAAGTAAGTAAATAGAGAAACCTTGACAACAACTTGACAAGGATCACCACTATCAGGTCGGATAACGAGACATCCACCGCGATTGGCACGATCAATGACCATATCTCGCAGCTGCTCACCCCAAATATTCGAAACAGCATTGTAAACATCATACGAATCGCTTACGACCGATACCAAACCATCCGGGAATTGCTCGAGCATATGCTTATAAGCTGCTGATTCACCAGATTTCTTCCACGCTGTTATTGTACTGAAGGCATTAATCATTATTTTCAATCAAGATATCCATAAAATCGATATCGAAATAACAAAATCAATACCTGTGCTCAGCAGCTGGTATCGAAAAACCGGCCATCATCGACGAATAATACCTATAGACAGATGGGCACATTCATAGCATTTTAAAATACGCAATAACAAAAAAAGGAAAGAATTGAATAAATAAAACAAACTTTCGACATAATTGTAATCCTGCGATAGTATCCGTACCAACGAAGTTTACGAGATGCGCTGCACCTCCGATAGATGCACTCTAAATGCAATTAGTTCGTTTGCAATGATGCATAGGGAATGAATGAATTTTTGATAGATGCATCCCTCTGAACATAAACAAGGGAATAAAATCCAAATACCTCCACTGAAGAAACACCTCTATAACCAAAATCGTGTAACTTGAATGGTAAACCATCAAGTGAATCGGCTGTCTCATGCAAATATTTTGCCAGTATACATTTCTGAGCGCGAGAATTAGTGCACACGGTCATCGGATACCACATTTGTACGAGCAATGTCTACGATCAACAAATTTTTAATTACATGGAAATGAAAGAACGTCTCCTTCTTAGGAAATGATATACTGATGACATAGAACAAGCCGTTATGTGCCCACCTCGAACCAATTGGTGAGCCACGGTACTTCGGGATCAGTATTCTCAACCGTGAAAAGAACATTTTTGACCGGAACAACCGTGCCCTCAGGGACTGCTTTTATCTTCAACGGTAAATATCCATTGTGTTGCTATAAATCACTGGCAATTTAGAATATGATTCGATGCACGGAAAAAGTTACTGCAAATAGCCTTATTCACAACTACCTCACGAACCCTTCTTTGTTGTAATATCTATGTCTACTCAAAAATTTAATTTTATTCGCGATTATCTTCAAAATTTATATTATCCATATCACATCGTGCTTTTAATCATATGTTAACCATCATCATTGCTAGACTGTCATCTTGTGAGTGTGAATCATAGCCTCGCCATCCCCGCCCCATCAAAACAATGCTGAAGCAAAACGCATCCGAAATTGAAGTAAAAGAAAGTCAAAACGGAATTCACCTCAACAATGTGATTCCATCCACTTTCATTGAACACATCCAGATCACCAAAATGAACTTTATAAAAATGTTTCGCTTGCTGTATCATTTGCTTATTCACAACCGGTCCCACTAACCAACGCTTCAATAAATACTGAAAATTCAATTACTCCATAATTTGAACATCGAGGATTTGCTTAACACTTATTTCAAAAAATTACCTGCAAACCGAAGAAGCACACTTCTGAGAATTTGCCACCTCGACTCTCAAAATAACTGTACACGTGACTGGTGCCTTTTGGGTATTGACTATGATGGGTTATCTGAAATTGATTAAAAAACTTTTTTGAAATAACAACAACATGAATGAGAAGAAAGGCTCGAAATGACACAAATTAAACCAACTTTGTAGGAATCTGCAACGTAGAGAATATTTTCTACTGGATTTACATCCATCTTCAAAATTCGTCTGAATAAAATTGATAGATCGACTTGAAAATTGTTGATTTTCGACGCCAAACGACTACTATACACATGTGATTATATCAGAAGAAAACGCATACACATCATTAATCTATATGTGAACGTATTGATAATGAAATGATCAAGTATAAATCTAAACGTGCATTTATGAAAACATTTATAAGTGATGTGAAAAAAAGGCAACGCTATGCAATACACTTTACGTATACCATGGCTAATACAATACAAACAAAACAGCGCTGAAACCGGAGCATATCATCTGAGGGAATCTTCCTTAGTTCTCTACAAAAGACATGTGAATTATGTTCACGATAAAACATCGCACTGAATCCCACAGAAGAAAGTTGAAGATCCTGTTAGCAAGGTGCTATGCGTGACCGCATCAAAACACACTAAGTGTAAATCATAATAACATATGCCTTTTGTAATAGGTGCATAAAATGGTAAATATGCGTTTACATTGCCCAAATCAAACCGAAACGTTAAATAACCGAGTACCACTTGACTACGAGATAACTTGCAGAAATATGATTATCCTGCAGGCGGCATCTCATAAGAAAATAAGAAAATCACTTCCGTATGTTTGATCATATCTATCGTAGAGCATTCGCCACCAGACAAAAAAATCACACTTCTTGTTTTGTTTGTGTCTCCGTACGTCTATCTGTCCGTTTCTCTGGGTCACTAATGGCGGCAATGATGCCACATTTTGATCGTTGCTTATTGCGATCTAATTATATTGTGGTTTGATGTTGTTCAATTGTTTGGATCTGCAGGATTTTTTGGTATCAAATTGATCTATCTGCTATATCCCGATAACCTGAAATTCCAGCTAATGTCATGAAGATGGGTCTGAAAATTTCATAGCAATCTTAGAGCTGACCTTGTGGGTCACTCGTGTCTACATTCAATTTGTTTATTATGGATTCGCTTATCAATCGACTTGAATGATAACTTGAATGATAACGCTTATCAATTTTACACAATTTTCGATATATTTCAGATTATATCGAGGGAGCTGAGTGCCTACATAATTAAAGCTAGATCAATTAAAAGATTAAGGGATGTTTATCAATCAATAATCAACAGTTATCAACAACTTTAAAATAAAAATGAAGAGTTTAAGTGTTGTTTCATGGCACCATCAAACGCCTGAAAGGCGACCCCTTAAGCGTTCACGTCTCGGTCCACCTGACGTCTATCCGCAGGATGTAAGCGTTTCAGTTTTTTTTTTTTAATTGAAGCAGTTTTAACTTATAATCACGGTGTCAAGAAACAACAGTGCAGTGCTGGGCGTATCAATTTTGGTGTATCAATAGTGTAGTGGTAAGTTTGGGGTTTATGGTGCAGGTCGGGTTCATGGTTCGGATCGATCCCTGCACCAGTGTATCATGTCTTTTTTTTTCATGAATGTGTGTAGCCAGATTTCAACATCATAACTCGGTAATACGAAGTCTTCAGTAAATTCGAAATCCAAATTCTCAGTCAGCATGAAGAACGTTAGGAGATGATCTATGAGTGGTTTAGGGACCTGATTGGATGTCTTCGGATTATTCCGTTTTGTGATCAAAACTGAATGGAAAGGAAAAGGAATGTGGTATTAATTTACAGTTAATTATGTAGCAAACCATTTGAAATGTTTATAGACCAGGCAAGAAGAAGACAATTTGGGTGCAGATCGTCTCAAAAAAGGGTATCAAGTAGCAGTTACGTCATATGAACACGAATCAATTGTTTGGAACGTTAAGGTTGAAATCTGATTCAATTTTTATCGTATTCTTTTCGATTATTTTAATGATAATCATGCTGTTAACAATGCCTTCAACTACCATGTCAAGATAGATAAAAGTATTACTGATGTATGACTGGAACAAATTTTGAAGGTTCCAAGATTCGATCGGCCACCAGAAGAGGCGATGACGCGTGGTGCACAGATAGTAATGCAAATATTGAATAAAAAATTAGAATTAAATGCAAATTTGGACAAAGAACGCAAAAGGGCGACCAAGGATGGAGTATTTCAAAATTTTTCACATACGGTTGTTAGTTGTTGTGGTTCAGTTGAATATGTTTATTATGATAGCAAGCGTAAACTAGTTAATAATAATGGTTATGCATGTAAAAGAGATTTAATGCAAATTTATGACTGCAAACTGTTCTAGAGACAAGCAGACAAGTCAAAAGAACGTAAGGAGTGGTTCACGGACCTCGCGATCGGTAAATCCTTGGCAGTACTAGCCAAAAGGCCGCCGTTTTTTCGCAAGAAAGAAGACGCATTAGAATATTTATGTGATTTCAAAGTACCAATTCAACGCGCATTGTGGTTTTTGAAGTTGATTGCGATTGGTCAAGGCATTGCAACGAATGTTAATAAACAGAAGAAGTCAACAAATGACCAACTTGCTTCGGGTTATTTTCTTTTACTGTTTATTCAGTTGCCATTTTACATAGCCAGAATTATTGTATTTGCAGAACATGCATCATTATTCACGAAGTACATAAAGGTGATGCTATCACAAATGAGTGATAGTGCAAAATTGGATACGAATATTGTTTATACGGAACGATGGCCACATTTCGTTTGTATCTGCAAGCATGCATATGAGGTTAACATTCGTTAGTATACTCCTAATTTATTAATCGATAAAAATCAACTGGATTAATGAAGTTCATATTAATAGGATGGTATGATCGAACGACAAGAATTCTTAATGGATTTATGTGATATATTCGCTGATCGTTTCTTACAACGCTCAGATAAACCGCATTTCTTAACGTTATTTCGTTTATTTTTAACCTTTTTTTCGCAATATACCGATCAAATAACACAAAATTTATTATTGTCAAGAAGATGTGCGTTCTTGGTTGCCAAAAGATTGGCGTTGAATAAGAAAGAAATGGAGGACGGAGTTGGAAGGTTTGTTGTTATTATTATTTATTCGATCTGAGTGAATAGAAGAAGTAACTGGAACAATTGAAGAGTTGTTGATATGAACGAAATGTTTGATGAGATGATTCAATGCCAAAATCAACGTTCTATTATCCTCATACTTTGTGGTATGTTGTACGCTATTCTAATCGATTGTCCCGGTGCATTAATTTGGAATAATTTTCAAGGTTTGTCTATTGTATTATTCATCTTTGTTAGCATGTAATCTTATTGAAATTGTAATCACAAGAATTGAGGAAATTATACTTGTTGCAAGAGAATTTAAAAGTTGGGCAACAATGACGTTGATGCATCATTCAGTAATTTTCTCTCGCGACTTGCCACTCTAGATGGGGTACTGTAATGATAAAAGGAAATATCATTGAATAATGACATTGATAATATTGAAGTGGCAGAAGGTCGACCGCCACCGTTATTGCATAATTTATGCGGTTCACCATTAGACGTTTTACCATGTTCGATCGAGTGCTTACCGATCCCGCAAGGTCACGGCAATGACAAACTCAGTGAACTAATACAGCTGAGGGTTGTCGAGGTGAAGAGACGAAGCCGTGCTGTCGACAATCACTGGTCCATTAATCATTCACACAAAGCTGGATTCGGTTGCTTCATTTGACTTTATTTATGCTTGTCGTTATGATTACTATTAATGATTAATGTCTTACAGCATTAATCGTGCAAACATGTTTGGAAATTCTTGGTGCGTTAGATGCAGCGAGGTTGGATCAGCCAAGGGCTATCGAGAAAATTTATAATCAAATTTTCAATAATTCATATCGTGAAAAATTTGATGTTAGTTATGATGAAAATAATAGTAACAGTAATTTGAATTCATTTAGTTATTTTGAAAAAAATGATTGTAAGTGATGTTAACTGTTAGTTTTTTTTTCAGAAACCATTTTAAAAATGGAACATTTATTCAAAATTGAATTTATTTGATAATGAAAAATTTAGCATGAAGACGCGATTCGAGTAAAAGTTTTAATACATTGGGCAGTAACGGTTGAACGAGAAGGTACCTATCGAGCATTGGTTGTGGCGAGTGTACTTGCATTGCGGGTCAATCATAGGAAGGGTTTCAAATTCGGTATTTATTACTTTGAATTGAACGTGACAGTTTGTATTGTATTAGTAAATATAAATGATCGTTCAATCAGGTGAACGTCATTTGCAAGATATCTTATTGGAGTATTTGGATACAGAAGGACCGAAGTTTGGTGATGAGTACTTTCACGAGGAATTCGCCAATTTGATGCATTTGTTTATGGAATTACAAAGGGCTGGTGTATTTTCACATGATTCTTATGTGAAAGGTTTGATTACAACTGGTGAAATGAGCGAGCAGTTACCGATTATGACTCTTATCAAGAATCGAATACAACAAAGTGTTAGTGTTTTGAATGTTACAATTATTCGATGATGAAGAATGAGGATAAAAAACTATACTTATTTCAGCAACGGAATGTGAATGCTGATAATATGTTCAGTGGAATGAACAATGATGAAAAACGCTTTTTAATGTCGTCATCAACAAATTTATTAGTGAATATGCCATTAGAAGCAGATGATGAACATCCTTTCATGGGTTATGAAGTCACTTCACACGAACGTTTCTTAATTCATTTGTCAGTTCCGCAAACTAATGAATATCGCAGTGAATGCAATCAGAGGTCCGTTATTGAAGGAATAGTTGAAATGAGTGTTGAGTGAATGAATTTGTAGAGCGTTGTTACTGTACGGAATAGGTGAACAACGAGACGTGATAAAGAACGAACTGAAGAAAGTGGCACGTGAGATTGCGAAGATATGGACAAAACGTATCGTCATTGAGTTCTCGTTCTCGAAACCATCCGAAATTCGTTTCAAAAAGCGCGCAAGTCGTGATCAAATCAATGAGGCACTTCAAAAATTCAAGTTATTACTTCATTTACATATCTCACCGCAGTATCGATTCTGAAATTTACATACGTCAGTTATTGTTTCATAGTGTGGCATTCTGATCTTTGGAGAATTCTATCCGTTTTGAATTTCATAATCTGATGCCAAAGGCTCTTGGAGCACCGATGTTTGACATATAATCATTTATTGTGTCAAGCCTGATGGTTTTTCTTTTCGTTTCATCCATGGACAATATCGTTATTTTTCCATGAATAATATCATTATTGTTGAAGTATCTGTTATCGTTTGAGTAATTTCTATTAAAAGCACCAAAAGTGCACGAAAACAATAAATTTGTCGATTTGGATGAAATATTCAGATCGCAGACGTATTATGATCAATTAGTGTTGTGCGGTTGGTGCTGCGATAATTTTATTCTAATGATAACCGATTTCGTTGATGGCCATAGTGCAGTGTTACCAGCAGCTGAAGGTTTCGATGTGTTATTGAACATGATGGAACATTGCAAGAATATTTACGGTATTATGGAACTTGCTGAGGAGGTAACGTTAATTGTGATACTTGTTTATGATGTGTTTATGGTGAGCATTGCAGTTGTTGCCGTTACTGGCGTCGGTTGAGCAGGTGTTATCAGAACGTCGTGTTGACTGTGTTCCTTCGATTGTGTCCACACACCTTGGTTATATACTCTGTTCATATATTAGTCACAACTATTATTATTTTATTCACTCTGAAAACGCACCTGAAATTGTTAACGGGTTAGTTAGTGATTGTTTCTTCTTTTTGATTTCTCATCAATATTATTACTATTGTCATTATTATTACTGTTTTATTATTATTGTTAGTAGTAACATTAGTATTGTTTGGATTTAAAATGACGCAAAGGATAGAAATAATGCATCGTTTTAGATTGTATAACTTGATAGAGAATCAACTAAAATCAACAGAATCGTGTCTCACCGGATGGGGTCGGTCGATAGGTATATTCGTACTGAATGCCAAACAACAATTAATTGAATGTGATTTAATCAGCAATAAATTGGTCGATGCCAAACGTGATCTATTAAAACGTTTATTACCATCCATTCAACAAACTAAATTTTCCACTTCAATCACTTCGGCCAAATATAACGCACATCTTTTCAAGGAATTTCTGGATGAACCGAAGTTTGTTTTTGCTTTGTTTCATTAATAAATGTTAGATGCTGATCTAATGTAATGGTCTATTTTAGTGATGATAATTGACAAAAATCTGATTAGAACTGCGGAAAAAAATTAAAGATGAGCCAAAAAATGGCATTTTGTGTGTGAGTTTTTCTAAGGGGGGGGGGGGGAGAGAATGAAATTTTTGGGATGAATTTCGAATGGAATGTTTCGTTTGGTAAACATTAGTGATCGTTTGTAATTGACTCAGAAGGATGTTCTCATTCAATGATTATCGTCGAATCAACGCGTTAATAAATGATGAAGAAGCACGGTACAGTTTCGTGATTAGTGCGTTGAATGCTGCCAGACAGTGCGGTAACGACTACGATAAACTCGTCGAGTTGTCGAATATCTGTTCGCATTTATCGTCACAGGCAAACATCTGCAACGAATGGTGTGGTGCCCTTCAAGCGTTGTGCTGTTCGAGTGTAGCTGGTTCGAATCATGGATTTGCTGATCTCTTTCTTGTTATTAATGTTTGTTATTTTTTGTTTCGAGCCGTTACTTTGGTAGAGTAGTCCTAATTATCAGATCACTAATCAGGATCGATCTTTATCATTGAGGAACGAACATGAATGCGAAGCATGAATAAACACAACTCATTATATTTCAGGTTGAAGATTCAAAGTGTCATTACAGTATTGCAACATTTTATATGCTACTCGCCTCTCGTAATTGTTTCAGCATGAATGCCCTATTTTATCAGCTATTGCAGTCTGTGTTTTCGTCTCTATTAAAGTCTGATTCGTGTATGTATCATTATTTTTATTGTTTATTTTTGTGAACATTGACCAATACAATGTTCTTCTTCACATTTCGAACTAGATAGACTGTGTTTGTGTGATTGCAATGAAATGTTTAGCGAAAACAGACGTTGATGCGGAAGCGGGTGTGTGTTTAGCGTTACTGGTTATTGCTGATATGGTATGCCAAAACGACGAGCCAATTATACGTTAGTAGTAGTTTTATTTGTTGAGCTAATGGTGTGTGAAGTAATATGTATTGAATGATTGCAGTATCATCTTTATATACGGGTGAAAAAGAGCCACGAAAGCATTTGTCGGGGATGGCTGATAAATGGGCATTATCAGAGGGACATTTGCACGATATTGGCGAATCAATGTTTGAGTTGCTTCTGACAATATCGATAATAGCAGATTATACGAAGAATAAACTCAGAGATCGTATTGAAGAGTGAGTGGTTTGTCGTTTGGCATTGATCGAATACTCTTCATTATTAAAACTTTTACAGTAAAGGAGAACATAATTTTCGTCGTGAATATATATCGCAAATATCAAAAGGCGTTCTGATGGCAATGTGCGAACAGGACTGGGTTACTCAACGCATCTATCGTGTCTGTGAACAAACCAATATGGATGTATTCAATTCGCATCGTCTCAAGAAGAATTGTTTGGTAATTAATTAATTGAAATGTGCTCAAATAATGAAAATTGCTTGCTAACAGGGTCAACAGCTGTTACGTATGGCACTGCGACGTAAATGTGAACGATTAATTGTGCAAGAGTTGACAGTTTGTAATGGAAATTCAAAGAAATCACTAATCGACAAACTGCTCTCAGTTTTGAATATTTGGAATATACGTGCCACATATTTCGATCTTAAACTCATGATCAAAGAGGTGGGTTGTTCAGCTTATTGTTGTTGTGATATTTTTGCTACATACAATTGCATTCAGATATCACCAGAAGGCTCGAGCAGTAAGCATGCACAACAAGGGGCGATAGCAGCTGATGCTCTGATTGCCGAAATTGGACGATGTTGTCGCGATTTATTCACTAGTAAAATCGATAAGAAATTAACTGACGCAGCTATTGGAAAAGCGTTCAGGTGTGTCTCATTATTGATGTTAAATGGATCAGTGATAGTGATATTTCCAGATTGAAACACATTACCAACTACTGGTTGATATCGCCGTTAATTCGTTTATGCCCGAAGCCCGGTAATTTACCAGCATCGTTTCCTGCCGTAACGGTACAAGCCAAATTCCTTAAAGAGGCGGCATCGATGTTGGATACGGCAACTGATTGCAGTAGAGAACGTATCCAACAAAGGTTTGTGATGTGCTTTGCAGTGATATGTACAACAGTATTAATTGATATCCGATAGAATTGATCATTTTTTTGAAAAATTCTAGTGCGTGGTTGTTAAGTGAAGAACCGTTTTTAAACTTGGTATTAACGTGTTTGAAAGGTGAAGATCAACAGCGTGATTGTCTTGTTGGCTCATTATTAAAGCAACTGCAAGATTTGGTGGCTAAAACAAAAGACGTTAGTTCCTTGTCCTTTTTCAGTTTGACTGTTTTTATTACTGCATAAGTAACCGTAACTAACTGTAAAATTAAAGAATGCAACACTGCCATATTTGCGCAAATTCGCAACGGAACGTGAAGGTCTTCTATTGCGATTATCGTTAATCGGCGGTATGTTTGATTCGGTGTGTCAACAAAATAGCTGTGATGCTTGGGCATTACTTCTCTTTCAACTCATGTTATTTGGTATTGTTTCGCGAGAACGTGATAGGTATATATTACTGTTGTTTATTATAGCAATTGTTGGGTTATCGATTGTTTCTCATTTTTATACTGTTTTCAGGTTTTTATTTGAATCATGTTTCGACATGCTGAGCACATTATTGGTTTGGTCGATTACCGATCCAATGAATGCAGTACCCGTAAATTCACAAGATCCAGACACAAAGTATCGTTTCACTAATTATTGCGTCATCGTTAAAAAACTGAGAGTAAGTTTCAAAAATCGTTTTATTATATCTCTTTACTCAGCTATATTAAGTGCCTCTTTAGTGTTATTGCAATTGAGTGCTGCTCTTCTCATTTAGCGATATACTTTCGTCGTCTTATTATCAGTTGTTCCTTAGCTCTTTCGTTCTCCTGAGACCCAGTTTGTGCATTTCTTTGCCTGTTTTTCGTTTTTCGTTTCAATTCTTTCATGAGCCTATCTGTTCGTGATCTTCGGACGGACTTTTAGCAGTTTTCAACAATCATTTTGTGTTCTTGTCATTTGACTGTGTTATGAAGGTCAGTCTTGTAATTGTAATCGGGAATGAATTGAAGAAAGAGCTGAACGAGCGTGCGTTGATCCCCGAACTGCGCTGTCTGATGCAATTTCTGCCCATACCCAAGCCAGCTTTCGAACTAATCACTTGTGAACCGTATGGCACTCTACCAATCTCTCCACAGAAACTGTCGAAAGGTCAGATTGGTTCATCACCCGTTAAAGCTAACAAGCAAGGATTACAGGTATTTCTGTTATTATTATTATTATTATTATTTCATTTTTATCTTGTATTAAGCACCTTCATAATCAACTGTAGAGCATTTTTATTCCCTTTTTATTATTGCGTGTATATTGATTGTTATTATGGTGTGTCGATGAATGAATGATTAATTGTTTACTCATTTATTTCAGTTCGCTGAAAAAATAAAAATTTCGTCCTATGACATGGTACAAAACTTCAATTCGGAAAGCTCGTTGAAGCGCACCTGGACGTGGACAATGTTTCAAGTGAGTTATTCACGTTCTTTTTGTGGCTTGTTTGTTTTTTATTGTTTATTATCGTTATTAAGGCGGTGAAATTGGATCGTTGTCCAGTTGCAGTTCAAAAGCATATTCAACGTCTTATCCAGCATGCACATTACAATGAGTTTGTTCGACCCACCATCTGTGGTATGGATAGGTAATATGATTCAAAATATTATTCATTTTGACGAGCAATATTCAGAATCGAAAAATCAGTATAAATTCATGTGTTGTGAGAATTACGTAAATTTTGAATTGTTTAGAGTAGGGCATATATTCTGTCTATTATTACACTCCTATTTGACGATAACTTCACCGAATCTTCCCTTCATGGGTCAGTAAAGTGTTCGATAAATAAGAGCAGGCTTTCATAACCCTAAGATAATGACAAAATGTGCAAATCATAATAACCAAGTAAATGAATTGAAGACCACCGAATCTGGATATTTACCTGTCACCTCCAACGATGGATGTCTCTGAAACACCAGTGAGCAGCGTTCATCATGTCTCGTCAAACAGCACTCCTGCAACAACCACCTCCACATCTGTGGTATTTATTTGCGTTGATTTTATATTGTTATTGTTATTGCAAATTTCAGACAGCAGCTCAAATGTCTGTACCGTCACAAGCACCGTCCAATGAGCCGATGATATTCGCAGGTCAGGTTGGTGCAGTGCAACAGTTACCTGATATGGGTCGTGTTCAAGCTACTGCCTCACCTCGTGGTAGCAGAGGTAATCGACTTGCTTAATCAATTAGTGGCAATGAACAAGTGTACTTGCAGGTGGACGTCGAAAAAATGCAGGAGGATTATCGACACGTTCACAAGGAACAACCCGTAAGAAAAAGACGGCTGAACAACTGGCTGCGGTGGTTGGTGCAGTGTCATCGAATGCAACTGCATCATCGCAAGCTGTTCTCACTGGTACAGCTCCTGCAGTTACCGCTGCTGCTTCAATTGCTGGCGGACCGGGGCAAGGTCAGGCACCGGCGCAGGCTTATGGATGGGGTTCTGTTGGTCCGCCTGGCCAAGCTCCTCCACCATCGGCTCAGCCACCCGGAGGTGTAAATCAAGCAACGCAGTCACAACTTATGCATGGTGCACCTCCTCAACAGTTTCCATCGAATCAACAAGCACTTGGTTTGTTTCTGAAAGCAAATCATTAACCATCAACGAGCACAATGATTCAATTCTATCTTCAGAGGATTCAAAGACGAAGATCCATACGATGATCCTGAAACGTCAAGCACAAGCTGCATCTGGCAATACTGCCTCACAAAGTAATTTTATTTGCGGATTCATTCAGCGATTATTTCTAACAATTATTATAGACTTCCAAGGAATGGCGTCTGTGTCGGCCAATCAAAATCAGTACGGTGCAATGATGATGAAAATGGATGGTAGTTCGATGCGGGTTGATCAGCAGCAATCTTATCCTGCTGGTGCACCGCCGCAGTTATCCATGACTCAGGGTTTGTTTTACTCTTATTATTATTATTATTATTATTATTCTTTTCGAAGTGGTATATGCTTTTTTATAGATCAAAATGCTCAATTCGGTGCTCAGCAGCGTAACTATACAGCTCAACAATCGCAACCAAATGCCAATAGTGTCTTTGATAGTCGGTTAGTATTTACTATTTTCATTATTACTACTATTATTCCTGTGAAAGTAACTGAAAGAGAATTGATGCTTTTCGAAAATGTTCTTGATTTATGAATATTTGTTGTTGAGAATTATACTGAGCAATGCTAACATCGGAACGTTCCCACGTAAAACGCCAACATCAGCCTTGAACTACGTCAATAATAATAGCAATAAAAATGACTGCAAACTTCATGTCTGCTGCTGGCCTTTTACGCCGAAACGTTCCATTTATTGTTATTATTATGAATATTTGTTTACCGATTTATGTTAGTGCGCAAGTAATTGTTTCAATCAATAAATTTAGTATGATGAGCCATCACCAAGCTGCAGCTGCTGCAGCCGCGGCAGCACAGCAACAAGCAATGCAGTTCCAGCAACAGTATCAGCAACAACAGTACTGATCGTTCAGTTTTATCGTTATAATAGAATCGATCACATTGGTTCACCATTTGGTTTCGTATCATAAACTTTTGCTGGAAACCGAATGATACGTGAGTGTATTGATTCCTGAATTGTTATAAATGCAAATAACATCTAAATACCTAAAATAATGGTCTCAATTTGTTTGTCTCAACTCAGTTTGTTCTGTTTTATAACCGTAAATCAGTCAGACGAATGGACATGTTTCTAGGTAATTTTTATATTTTTGAGTAGCATATGTTCATATTAATGTGTATGAGTACATATTTATGATGTACTGCTGACTGATTTCATCATTTGTAGTGATCTGATTGTATAGTATTGATATGTTTGTGTATTTAATTGCATATTCGATTATTCATTTATTTAAACTTTTATTATGTGATCTTTAAAAACCTCCGACAAATGAACTAAAAAATAGCT